CGATAAAACAACCCGGCCGAGTACTGGTGTATAAGTCAAGATATTGGGACACAACTCACTGCCCGCACCGAATCCACAAGCCACGTTTCCCAAGACACAACAAGAGTTCACAGTCCAAATTTCACATCTAGTATAGAGTTTTGTCGAACAGACAAATTCTTACTCACCGACCTTACTCCTTACTGAATGGCCAATCTGAATCGAATCCGAATCGCAACTCTCTCTGAGAATCACTCATTCGAATGATCAACCAGTCAAATTGCTCCAAAAGTTCGCATTTATACTACGCTCGCTGCTAGCCCCGCATCTACATCATCACGCGCGCTAGCCAATCAGCGCCCTGCAAATTCTTCCTCCTCAATTTCAAGTTTCTCTCCGCCCACCGAGCAGTGTATAGAAAAGGAGCAGCCGCAAACCGGCAGCATCAGTCTGACTTCAGTCTACGATCAAGCCACACTCATGCAACATCAGCCAGCAGGCTTCGTCGCCAGCGCTCGGTCTTCGGAGGCATCGGCAGGCTGCGCCAGGCACAACTGCCTCGGCCCTCCGGCTCTCACACCCGACTCACTGGGGCACCTCGCCTGGACTCGCCGGTGGTCGTGTCCCTGTCTGACCCACTGGGCATCGGGCGTAGCCACTGCCTCATCACTCCTATGACCGCGCTGCGCCACCACGCAAGCTCAACTCACCTGCCGCACGGCGATCAAGCAACCTCCAGCAATGGCCGCATTGTGGCCAGTGAAATCAATGCAAATAACCTCTCTTCCTACCGGCGCGCGCCGCGCTACCTCACCGGTCAAGCATCTCAGCAACCACGGTCCTTTTCAGGACCAACAAACTCTTCCGAAGAAGTGGGTTGTCATTGAAGTAACGACAAGAGACAGACACAGAAAACCCCACAATGGTAATGAACCTTTGGGTTCCATAAAATGCTGGGAAGTTCTTGAGTAACAATTGGCAGCTTCTCAAGAAAGGCTCAGCTCTATGAGTGAATTATTAATATGACAGAACAGGTTGATTTGGAGCTTAAGAATACGCTTTCCAAGGTAAAGGAGAATTATCCCTGTAACAGTCCATGGAGACAACCACATTTTCTAAAAAGTTGCCTCACAGATGGGGATGGGATTGTGAGTCTTACTCACCGGCCGCCCTTTATCCTCAGGAAGATTCCAGGTACTCATTTCTGTTTGAGGCTGAGTCAACACCCAGGTCCATAGTGCAGCTGCTGGAAGGATTAAGTCAAGTGAAAAGTTCAATGACCATATCGGGAATCGAACGTGCGACCATCAAGGTTTTAGCATAACGCCATCAACCACGTACGTTACCGCTAGCCCCGCATTTCATAAATCATTTTTATTTTATTTTAAGTAATTTGAGCTAATTCGCCATAATCTGGTAGAGTGTGCTGATATCGAAGGCCATACCAAGGATGTAAGTGTTCAACTCTGAAAATTAGTGCAATCGCTGGCTTTTGGATCACAGAAAAAAAAATAAAGGGAAACTTGCAGAAAATGTCTAAAAATTACTGATTGTTTCAGTGATTATGTAAAGGTGTTTTGTAATAAGTTGTATTGTGGTACACTGTTTGACATTATTTATTTCATTACTTGCAGTAATGTAAGATTATTATGACGGAATTATGCTTCTGAGTTCTGAACTTCACGCAGCTGTAGTTCCTATATTCCCACCACAGGTGTCGCAACAGATCAAAAGTAGAAACGGTAGAAACCAATAAAATGGCAGAGGGTTGGACTCAAAATGTTCGATGCCGGTAAGAAAACTGGGTTCTGTGCCATTATTGTTGCCTTTATTATAATGATTTGTAGTATTTCGTGTTAGTGAAATTGCAAGGTTTGCTGTGTGTTTATTGTTTGGTGAAAGGTGAGAGATAAAAGTTAATACGGTAAACAATAATATCAAGGCAAATGGAATTGTCATAGTGGAATGAGCAAGCATTGAAGTATTAAAAGGAATTTCGAAAAACTAATTTCCCTTCTTTGTTGAGTAACTAGTTAAGGATTGGTTGTATTAGTTATTTCCGTAAAGCCACAGTATTTTAGAGGAATGAGTTGCCGAGATGAGAATGTAAAATGTTTTGTAGTTTGGTTGTCTGTTAATGACAATAAAGATGAGTATAATTTAAAAAATAAACGTAGAATTTGTTATGTTAATGTAGTTAACTTACGGTATGAAATACTCTTGACTAACTGAAGAGAGAAAATACTGTATGCTGTGATAGATTCATGTATGAAGGTAGTGGTATTTTAATGATATACATGACCCTGTAACATCATTGTCATCTACACAGTGTTATGTTGGTTCTTTAATGCACAGTCATTCAGTGTATGCGTGAGATTTTATAAAGGGAGGCCATTTGAGAACCTGCTACAAAATCTTTCAGCCAGTCTGGTCAGAGGGACACACACTATTCACATCAACTTTTTGTGCACATGTTGAAGTCAGTGTTTCACTTGACAAGACTACAGACCAACAAATCACAAACAGAACTCACCTAGACCACAGCAAATGCTGGAAATTGCCTATGTTGTTACATATACATTCCTTGTATCTGTATAAGCTGTTCACATTTACGTATTAAGGTTCATTTTTTGGGAATAGAATTTGAAAAGTTGAACCTCAAACTATAAAGCCTGGTCTCCTCTACGAGAGGTGTTAGGGATTTTGGAAGATAGCAGTTAAGCCTAGCACCAGTTACATTCAGAATCTCTTCAATGAGCATTCATTGTTTTGGTTCCATTCTGTTTTGCAGTTTGAAATTTATATATGACTAGCTGTACCTGGCTACGCGTTGCTGTGGCAGATCGAGTGAATTGCTTCCGCTCCTTGAGTACGACGACCTAAGTTTGATCTTCTGCGAGGCATTATTTGGATGAACTAAAGCAGATCGATTGCACTGAAGAAGAAGAAAGAATGTTATAACAAAAACATATACAATTGCAAAACATTAAAAAAGGAAAGAACATGAACTGGAAAACAAAGAAAGAAAAAAAATAAAAAGTACTAACGAAATATTTCAATTCAAACACAGATCAATCGACACAGCTCACTCCCACCGCCAATTGCACTGATAAATAAGAACAGTTAAGAAAACGAAATGAAAGACAATGAAAAATAAACTATACTCACGAAATGAATGACATATAACACGTTACAGTATATCAATATTGAGTACAATTAATATTTTAACAACCAACCAACCTGTCACAGGTGTGACATATGTCACACATGATTTTAACATCATAAAGTCTTAAAATACATTTTTAGTGAGTGACATATTCTTGATGTGTTTTAAATTGTTGCATTATTTACGTGTACTTTGATAATAATATGTCGCATGTTACCTATGTAACGTTGTTGTGGTCACGTGTCTCCTATTCAGTGCGACAAATAACTTCCACGTACGTCTCGGATTCAGCAAATAAGTTATTGAACGCTCACTTTTACACCAGCGAGTACAATTATTATCACGTCCAGTATCACCAAAAAACTCTTCGGAGCTGGACTGTTATAACCTGGTTTCGGACGCAATATAGGGCACTTTCACTCAGGGTTCGATTTCATATGTTCTGTGCTCGTTGCCGCGGTTATTCCTAGGCAATGATCTGTTGGTATTCGATGGACGACAGAACACCTTGTAGAAGTGTCTGGTTTCATCCATTATTATGCAACGGAACCTCTTATCCTCTCATCTCCGGAGAAACGCGTTTGTTGTTTTGGCAATTCCTATGCAACGGCCCACTGTTATTGCGTTTCCATGGAAGTATACTTTCCGGTTTCATCCATTGTTACGCAACGGAACCTCTTATCCTACGCAACTGTTCTAGCGTTGCTATGGAAACGAGTGCTGGATTCGGAACATGTGACGTGTTTTTACCTGTCACAGGTGACCTCTATATAATAGGTACACAAAAAAAACGCGCGTATTTGAGTGCAACATTGTGTCAAAATTTCAAAGCAATGGGTGAAGAACTTTCGGAGATTTAAGACGACTAACAAACGAACATTTACTGCTCGGATTCACGCGTGGCCGGGTACAGCTAGTAGGTATATAAAAACACGCACACATTCGAATGCAACGTTGTATCAAAATTTCGAAGCAGTCGGTGAAGAACTTTCGGAGATCTTCGAGGGGTAATAAACCAACATTTACGTTTTTATTTATATAGATTGCACAAATAATTGTTCTTTTGGAACTGTGACATGAAATTTATGCCAGATGCTTATCCTCGCTTTTCACATGGGAACCATACGTGAACATTTGTTTGAAAGTGTAACTCGCATTTGTCTTTTTGGTGTGAGAAGTAATGCAACTGGTCATTTAATACTGTACCAGGGACTTGGGATTACGTTTGAAAGGCATAACACATAAGCTGTCTTCACGATAGCCCTCCAGAGATTTTTTCAATGATATAAGAGAGAAATTATGATTATGATTACTGGCATGATGGCCTTGTCATGAATTCAGAGACGTGCAGTTTGATATGAGTAGTGTGCCCCTACTGCTGGACCTGCCAAAGGATTTGCAGCAGACTCTCAAGTAACCTTGTACAACTAATATCATAGTTGAGGATCATGCTGTATGTGAAATAATCTCTTATTGTTCCTTCATCACAGTGTTTGCTTAGGTGCACTATACGTCATGTATGTTTCGGCCCTATTTCTTGGCCATCATCAGGTGTATTCAGCTCTCCATACATTCACCTTTTTCACTGGTCTGCTGGTCCTCCCTATGTTGGCTATTGTTTACAGGTTGGAGTTTTTGTTTCCAGTTTGTTTGTTATATGTAATGCCACTTTTGTATAAGGTGAATTAGGTATTAACTAACTTCATACAGCTGAGCCCTTCTTGAGAAGCTGCAAGTTTTGCAGCTACTCAAGAACTCAGCATTTTATGGAACCCTAAGGTTTATTACTGTGTTCAGAAGAGTTGTCCACTGAGCCAGACCAGTTCAGTCCATTGCTCTTCAATGAGCAGTAACACCATCCAGTATTTGACAGGTTTTCAGAAAGCAGTAATATCCCTGCTGTCTCTGAGACATCAGCCACAGCACTGCCAAAGATGACTTCACTTCAGAGCAGTGGAGAAGCTACTGCATTTAATTTTGTAAGTCTGCAGCATTTCAAGGGCTATCCTAAAGCAGGGTCGAGAAGAATTACAAGAAAATGAGAGCAGAAGGGAAGAATGATTGCCACTGATACTTGTGAAACAGATGAAATTGAAAAGCAAGCAGCAGAAAGATCAAAGAGAAGAAAACATCTGACTTGGAAGACACTGAAAGCTTTTCATCAAAAAAGAAAAAGAAGATAGTTCATTATGTTGGCAAAATTAAAGAAATTGTGTCTAAAGCAAACCTTGACTAGTGTTGACGGAGCAGAATGAATAAAGATTTGAGGTTTGCACGGCGGTGACTGTGATGAAAGCCGCCTTCTGGGATGTGGCGCCGTGTAGATATTGTGTTAACTGTAGGAACATATCACCTCCATCTTCAGTGTAGAAGGAAACGAAAATCCGCGAGCGAGGATCCAGCGTGAACAGGTGCTGACAGACTAATATCTGTCTGTCTGTCTGTCTGCCATTAGTGTGTCATAACCTGCTCACGCTGGTTCCTCGCCCACGGATTTTCTTTTCCTTCTACCCTGAAGATGGAGGCGATGTGTTCCTCCAAAATGTCGGTTAACAATGTCTACACAGCGCCACATCCCAGAAGACAGCTTTCTTCCCTAATGAATATTAAACTTGAAGTCAGTTTTCTTCTCAACATTGTTCTTGATAAAGTTCTGGTAGAGTTTTCTGATATTGTAATGCCCTTACCAAAACCAGTTTGAGTATGTTACACTGAGTGACAGAACCACTTCTACATTTTCTGTGTCAATTTTGATGCCGTGAATGTATGCTGAATGTATTTTGATTCTTATTTATCTTTCTTATGTATTTGCAGTTATTCTTATATTATATCTGACTGTAGCACATAGTGTCTCAGAGTGCCCCAGTATAGGGCAGACACAATTTTCTGTACTACCCTTAAGTACTGATCCCACATCAGCTATAGCCCTGCTTTGAAGGTTTAATTGAGCAAACATTTGCTCAACCCAAATCATTGAGTTATAGTGACAGTTTTGCTAGCGAAGTGTTGAGTATATAACTGAATATTATATTTAAAGGCTAACCATTACCCACTGCAGGTACTATGCAAATGGAATATGTCGTAAGGGAGAAGCTTGTCGCTATCTGCATCAGGGACAGGCTGCATCGAGTGTGGGCACATCTTTAAGGACTGATCCTTTAGAGACACGATGCCGTTATTATCAGCGAGGTTCATGTGCATATGGACACCGTTGTAACTTTGTGCATGCTGCTGAAGTCTCCACTTCAAGTACAAACAATGCTAATCACAGCACTGGTCTGGCATCATCGTCTACTGCAAGGAAAAATTCATCAAACAATGCCAACAGAAATGGTCAGGGAACCAGGTACTGGGGTTTTATAATTATCCAGCTTAGTTCAAGCTTTGAAATGTGTTTACTGTCTTCTTGGACATGATACCATGTAGTTCAGTAGATAGGTACCTGAAGTTTGTTGGAGCCTGCTGCCCTCATCTTCAGGGTAGACCTTGACAGCTTCACATATCAGACAACCATAATTATAAGGAGATTTTTATCTGCCATTTTATATGACCATCCTGGAGCCAGATTAATGCTGAGTTATTTTTATTTATTGTCATTTACATCATTATTTGCAAAAGGGAGAAACTGAAACAGCCAAGATTCTGCCCTTTGAATGATTGTAGCAATGTGCAGGGAGATCGAGAAGTCGTGCACATCACACTAAGCAATTATCTTTTGCTGGTTTAATGCACAAACTACAAGACATACAGCACTTACTATTAATGTTTATAACCTTACATCTTAGAAATGCAAAATCAAATCATGTCTTTGCAACATATGCTCGAAATGGCTTCTTTGTTCAGCAATGCATGTGTGAGCTCTGTTTACCATGTTTGAGGCCACTTTGTGGAGCACCTGTAAACTGATGCTGTTAGTTGCTGTCATAATGTTCCTCTTGAGGTCATCCAGTGTATGCGGATTGATTTATAGACAATTCCTTTGAGGTACCTCCAAAAGAAAAAATCTGCTGGTGACAAATCAGGCGAACACGGGGGCCCACAATCCTTTCAAAATGATACGGTCACCAAAAAACTCGCGCAAGAACTGCATGGTTTCATTAGATGTGTGACATGTGGCACCATCTTGCTGCAACCAACACTCACGTTCATCGACTTCAAGAAGCGCAATAAATTGTGTAATGATGTCTTGGTATACTGGACTATCCACTGTTGTTTCAGAGACAGTTGGGCCCACTATTCGATGACGTGATACAGCACACCACACTCCAATTTTCTGACAGTGCAAGGGCTTTTCATGTAACACGTGGATTTTCAGATGACCAAATCCTATTGTTTTGTCTGTTCATATAGCCACTAAGGTGAAACCACGCTTCGTCAGTGAAGAAAACCGGATCAAACTCTTCAATTCCATGGTTGCCAACAAATGCCCGGAACCATCTACAGTACACTAAGCATTTTTTCTTTATCCAGGTCCTTCAGTTCCTGCACACAGCGAACATGATATGCACGAAGGTGTAACTTCTTCATTGCTTTCTGAGCACTTCCATACGAAATCCCTGATCGCGCTGATAGTCTCCTCAGGCTTCTAGAAGGGGAACGCTGCAACATTTTCCCCATGTCAGCCAGTTTAGCCTGTCAAAATGGCCGGTCTCCCGGATCTCTTTCTATCTGAAACTGATCCACATTCCTGAAATCGGCTGATTATTCTCATTATCGTCGAATTGTTAGGAACTGCAGAATCCGGATATTCCCAACGAAACTCATCTACGACAGGTGCATAAGAACGTCTGGCAAAATAATGTTCCACGATGAAAGCTTGTTCTTGGGAAAACGACATGTCTGTCATGCAATAAACAAAGCTATGCTGCAGATGTCGTATGACCGATACGTGACAGATGGCGTTTCTATTCGTTGTTAGTACTCTTACAGTACCACCTAGCGGTAGGAGATATGATTATATTAACTGCAATACAATTTATAACAACTTTTAGTTTGATCTGTATCTCAACTTAGAGTATGTGGGTTAGCCTGTACGTGAGAGATGGGTGCATACACTCAGTTTGAGTTATGGCTAACAGAGAATATCTGGACTGAAGGTCATTGACTTTCCTCAGTTACTCTACATAAGTACAAAGGTAATATCTTATTTTAAAAGGGCTGTTTCCTGCTGTCATTACTTTCTCTACTGTGATAATGCAATTGAACATACATCATCTCGACAGATCCACGCTATTCAGCTGAAGGTCTGTGGTTAAAGTACCACGTCTTAGAATAAGTCACTTGAAGGCAGAAACATAATTAATAGAAGTAAAGTAATGAGTTTGTTCATTAATATCTGTGTGAAAATCACTTTACTTCATTTGTCATTCCATTTTTTATTCCGATTTCTCTTGATAGTTGGAAAACTTCAGTCCTGAAGAAGCAAGGAGACAGTGCTGACAGTGGGATTGGCGAAGACTCTGCTGAGAATTGGGTGAATGCACCAGAATTTGTCCCTGCAGGAAAATATAACATTCCTAAAACAGCAGAGCGTGGTGAGTAAAATTCTGATCAGCAGATCTTATTCATTCCTGTTAATGGGACATTGGCTTAACACATTGCGGCGGACCGGTTGTTTTTCTTTAGGGTGTGACAGGAAATGAGCGTGATCATGTTACTGGCTAAGCTAGCAAACATTCCCAAGGTCAACTACGCAGTAGTTATGATGCAACATGGCCACACAGCGAGATGTAGTCGGTTGCAACATAACGCGTCAGAAAAGGGCCAATTGGCCCGCCCGGTCTGTAACACTATAGAAACGTAGAGGGCCAATTGGCCCCTCCGGTCCTGAATGTGTTAAAATATGTAGAGGTTTAGTTGGAAAGGATTTGTAGAAAGGTGTGGGATGTTAATGCAGTTTATTTGCCAAAAGAGACACCCAAAGAAATCAATAAATGGCTAGACTAGCGGATTTTGTATCATGACTGCATTGCCACAGTAAGGCCGGTTGACTAATATCTCTGTTGGAAACTCACCATATTTGTTTTATCCCAGAACTAAACAGTACCTTAAAGGGATCTCACTTCAAATATATTAAATGGTCAATGCAGTGTGGTGGCAATGAAAGAGGCTTTTGAAAAATGTTCTAGACATATCAGAGACACTGGAATGTATGTATAGTCAGAGGACCAAGCACTTTGAAGTTGACCATGCTCAGTAAAAGTTAAATGACAGTCTACGTATATATGTATTACGTAGCTGATTCCAAAAGTAAGGTCTCCAAAGCGCTGGGTAATTTTTCGTGCGGCTGTTGGCAACCCTGTTGCATTCGTTGCTTCCCCCACTCCCCCAATACCACCAAGCATGCACGCACGTAGCTAGGACGCTCAGTCTTGGCACGGTTGCTGTTAGAAATGGAGCTCCCGATTACTAAAACTGCGAAGTGTGAGATTCGCACAGTTATTCGGTTTTTGAACGCAAAAGGGACTAAACCAATTGAAATTCATCGTCAATTGGTGGAAGTGTATGGCGAGTCGTGCATGGACATAAAGAACGTCCGCAAGTGGTGTAGGGAGTTTGAATCTGGTCGTACTGCAATACACGACGAAAAAAGAACTGGGAGACCGTCAATTTCTGACGAGACAGTCGCGAAGATTGAGCGAGTCATGCGTCAGGATAGGCGCATCACACTCGATGATCTCTGCATTTCGGTTCCCGAGGTTTCCCGAACCACCATTTATCGGGTTTTGACAGAGAAGTTGAATTATCGGAAGGTGTGCGCAAGATGGGTCCCGCGAATGCTCACGGAAGACCACAAACGGCAGAGAGTTGACTCTTCCCATGAATTTCTTCGCCGCTATGCTGATGAAAAGGACAACTTCTTGAATTCAATTGTCACAGGCGACGAAACCTGGGCGTACCACTTCACACCTGAGACAAAACAACAATCACGTCAGTGGCGGCATTCCTCTTCGCCTAAGCCTCGAAAATTCAAGCAAACACAGTCTGCCGGTAAAGTCATGGCAACTGTGTTTTGGGATCGAAACAGGGTATTGTTGGTTGACTTTATGGAAACTGGAACCACAATAAACGTTGAGAGATATTGTGAGACACTGAGAAAACTCAGGCGGGCGATTCAGAACCGGAGAAGAGGGATGTTGAGCAAGGGCGTAAGCATTCTCCACGATAACGCTCGCCCCCATGCTGCCCGACAAACCGTCGCTCAACTGCAACAGTTTGGATGGAACATCATCACCCATCCACCCTATAGTCCGGACTTGGCGCCCAGTGACTACCATCTCTTTCCAAAGTTGAAAGAACATTTGTCTGGAAAGCGCTTCAACAACGACGATGAGGTGAAAGCTGAGGTTCGAAGTTTCCTGAACAGCATGGAGGTGAACTGGTATGACATGGGCATACAAAAACTGCCACTGCGCCTACAAAAATGCATCGACCGAAATGGCAATTATGTAGAGAAATGAGTACATGTTCAAGATTCAACTGATGTATCCAAAATTGAAAATAAATGTTTATTTTATATTTTCAAACATAGGAGACCTTACTTTTGGAATTACCCTCATATTTTACAGAATCAGTCAAAAAAAACAAACTGCTTGTTCTGTAGTCCGCAAGTGAACTATACCGACTAAGCAGCCTCCACTTGTTGACAAAGTTAGTGCCAACTTTAACAGATTACAGGATCAGTCATGTTATGAAATTAATAAATTGTGTTTTTGACTTTTTCCATTGTCTAGTTTTCTAGAAAATAGAAAACACAACTTTTCAGAATCTGGATGTTTCTGCCCTCAGGTGAGCTGAGGAGACACCTGCTCAGTTGGGCCCCTTAGAAAGAGCTAATCTTAATCTGTTTTCTAGAATACCGGAAAAAGTCCAAAACCCAGTAATTCTATGTGTTATACGCCATCATCAGAACCCTTCAGAATCTAATAGATTATATATTTTTGACGTGTCTTCATTCCTTAAGAAATTTACAAGAATGTGGTAGAATAAATGTATAATTCATAAATTAGAGGCGAACCATGATATAACCAGTATGGCTTATAATGAGACAGAAACGTCAGTGCCGTCCGTATGTTAATGTTACATATATGACAGACCGTCACAGAAAACCACATTTTTTTGTTATATTCATCATATGATTGATTCCTAGCCACCCACAACTTTTTATATGAATCATAGTTGCATGGTTGCTTTTCAAGCGATTTAAGGTCATAGTCCATAACGGTAGCATTAAACCACATCCTGCACCACACCCTCATTTGGAACAGAAAAGACTACATTTCAGAATCTTAGAACTGTATGTCTGAAGATCTTTTGCCACCTTGAGGCAGAAGTTCTAACAACACAGAGCTGTTACACAAGGTGTGGCAATAAAAAACCGGATTACCATTATGACTCATTTCCGGCCATGTCGATGACGAAGAGGAGGGTAGGGCATTGACCCATGGACTTCCCTCTACTGTCACACAAAGTTGAATTCACGCGCATCGGTTAGTCTGGCCGCGACCATTGTTAGAAGCGGATCGTGTGTCTGATCTCCGTCGAAATAATGCTGAGTGCTAATGTAGAACAACGTGTTAACATCAAATTCCTCACAAAACTTGGAAAATCTACCACTGAAACTTACAATTTGTTGACAGAAGTATATGGTGATCAGTGTCTATCTCGCACGCAAGTTTTCGAGTGGTTTAAGAAGTTTATGGAGGGTAGGAAAAGCGTCGGGAACGATCCAAAATCAGGCCGTCCTTCCACTGCAAAAACTCCAGAGAATGTGGAGAAGGCCGCTAGAATTGTTCGAAGAGATCGTCGACTGAGCTTTCGAGCAATTTCTGAACTTACCAACATCAGTAAGGATAGTGTTAGACAGATTTTGCATGACGATCTGGGCATGAAAAAGGTGTGTGCTAAAGTGGTGCCAAAAATCCTTACCCCCCAGCAAAAGGAGCATCGAGTGAATTGCTGTGTTGACACTCTTGAAAACATTGAAAATGATCCTGATTTCTTCCAAAACGTAATTACGTGTGACGAAACTTGGATTCTTCAATATGATCCAGAGACTAAGCGACAATCCATGCATTGGAAGAGCCCCAAATCCCCTAGGAAGAAGAAAGCGC